GGGGGGCGGGGGGGCCTTCATGGATTTTTGCATCGGGGCCCTGGGGTCACTAGTTACGCCACTGCAGCCTCTCCTTGCTGTTGCTATCATTATTATTTGGGAACTACTAGTACCTTGGATTGGAACTGAAGCTGATCAAGGCATCATTTCCCACCACTTACAGTGCTCACATTACACTCCACAGCTCCTCCCACAAACCTCACAGACAGCAGGCATGTCACCACTGCCTGGACTGTACCACCAACTCCTCCCTGGGGGGGATTTGTGACAATTCACACCTGGACACAGATTGTGAGCGTCCATGCAATCATTACATATCAGTATCATACACTCTGCTGGCCTGGGTAACTTAGCTGAGCTTTATGCAATTATGGGACCTGGACACTTGTGGGAAGGGGGGTTTGAACCCCCCCCCTTATCTATGCCCCTGCTAGGCCCATATTATGTTTCCATTCTGGAGCTTTTGCTGTAAATTGAAGCCAAAACTGCAGCATGAGAAATGGCCCAGTGTGCAGCAGCTCAAAACTACTCTTTTGATGTTTTAGCTTTTTCAGGCACAGTCTCTCTTTGCTACTGCCCCCAGGAGTCCTCTAGTAACTGTTGTCTATCTTTCCTCTGCCCAGAATCTGAATGGGCCTCCTCCATCAGCTCAACATCGTTGCTTAGACTAGGACATTTACTAGATGATAGCCCATTCTTAACCCAAAGGCCTCACAGTGAACTTCAGGGGCAGGCTTCCAGGTGATCTATTGACAGATGTATCTTTCAGTAACGCAAGCATCCCTTGACTAAGGCCACAGGAGAAAAATAAACATTTTGGCTACTGAGGCCATATCTGCTGGAGTCAAAGAGTATGTGGAAGCTGGTTGCTCACTACCAGAGCTGTTGGATTTGCCTCTGTACTGGCATATTCAGAGGTGCAAATCACTCTGTACATCATGCACAGTTGGGTGTGTGGCAACATAGTCAGCAAAGACTCTCCTCAGGTCCCATAATGACTTCATGCTAAAACAGTGGCAAATAACTCTCCACATTGCTCCCCACACTCACCAGCCAGCCTGCAAAAATACACTGTCTATCTATTAAGGTTAAAAACGGTTTAGTTCTACAACTTAAGAGGTTTTAGTTCTACAACTTTTGCAAAACATGTGGAATCCACACTGCCTTGTCAAGGCCCCCCTCTCTGTGTAGTGTGGTCCTATCTCTAATCTATGAGCGCCTCCCTCTTAGAGCATATATGACAAAGGATGAATAGGGTGCAGGTTTGCCAGGAGGTAGCCCAACCTCCTTAAATGCATAGGGACACACCAGGAGCACCGCACACAACAATGGCAGCTGAAGCCCCCAGTGTGTCCCCAGACCAAATCCAACAAGTAAAACGAATGGCAAAAACACTCATCAATTCATAACTAGCTTTAAAGCAAGGTGCACATTGAAGGGCTTTACACAGTACAAAAGCAAACATTTCCCAGCACACTCACCAGCCAGCCTGAAAAAATACGCTGTATAACTATTAAAGTTAAAAAAAGAGGTTTTAGTTGCACAAATTTTGCAAAATATGTGGAAGCGACACTGTGTAATGTGGTCCTAACTAGGGATGCACAGATACTTTTCGAGTACCAGTGCAGATACTTGGCATTTTCATGAGAACTACCAGGGTTGCAGAGGTTGCAGCTGGGACCGGGCTCTGGTGCTCCACCACTGTCCTGAAATCATTAGTCTGTATTGTTTTAGAAAAACTGTCACATGACAATAAACAAAAATTTATCAGTACTCGTACTTGTAAGTACTCGGCAAGAACCAGTACTCGTACTCGCAAAACTGGTATCTGTGCATCACTTTATTTATATTTATAAAAACAAAATCGTACATTAAAACAGAGATGTACAAATCCCAGGAGCTCTGTGTGCTCGTTACAAATGACAGCTGCCTCCTAATTTTTTAATTTTTCTCTAGTGTAGTCTTGAAGCTCAAAAGTATCGTATTTGTACCGAGTACTGTACTTGGTATCTGTGCAACCCTAGTCCTAACTCTAATCTATGAGAGCCTCCATGGTACATAGCACTTGATTGCTACATAGAACCATACATGGAACCCAAAATAGAATCCAGACTCCAGTGGCAGTCAACCTCTCTGGCTTGTACTGTGGATCTCTCAAAAGATTCTGGGATCGCCCAGTGTCCCCATTACCAACTAGGCTTACAGGAGGTACACAAAAGTTTGGGTGGGTAGGTTATGTCTTCGCAGCAGCACTTGATCCCAACATGGTCTGGTGGAAAGCAAAAGGGCAGAGACCCCTCCTACTTCTTCAGAACACTGACATCAGTTATGGCTGGGGTGCCGTGGGGTGAAGTGGATTTGCTTCCTTGATTGTACAGGAGCAAAGTTCACTCAACATTTATCCCTTCAGCTGCTGGCCAAAGTGACAAAGTGACACTTTGCAAACATCTCTTAAATGAATTAAAGCACCAGCCCACAACATTTCTTAGATGCAATTCAAATCTGCAGTTGCTAGTAGCAATATTCCACGTTGGCCACTAAAATATAACCTGAAGATCAGAGAAGCACTAAGACAATTATTGCATAAAGCAAGATCCCTACATTTACATACCCATGCCATTTTTAAATGTTATATTTAATGATTCATTCTTTTATTTTTTTCTTGTTTTGCAGTGTCTGAATTTGTTTTAACTTATTTCCCACTGAGAGGTAAGTAAATGATCTCTTAACAGTTTATTTTTCACATCCAGATTACTGTATTCAAACTACCATGAGGTAACATGTGTGTCCATGCACTTTATCTTCAACATCTATAGGAAAATATCAAATTAGAATGCACGCTGTCAGGGCTTAGCTGCAACCAGCATATATATAAAATATATACTGGTCCCCACATGTATACATCCCTTTCTCTCCTCACTGCTGTGCTGTAGCCTGGCCCACTCTATACCACAAGGTGGATGAGCACAGCAGTGGCAGCTCCTGCATGGATTGCTGAAGTTCCCTCCCAACACACATGCTGCAGTGTGCACTGATCCCAGGTTCACCTCAGTGCCAGGATCTTCACTGCAGCACATCATGCAGGTCCCCCTCTTACTTTTCTCACAGACAGCAAATGAGGTCCAAGGCTCTGAGGAGCTGAGCCTTGGACCAGTGCTCCTTACTCCTGATCCAGTCCTGCTCAGAGGCCATGCCTGCTGCTAGGTTCAACACACCTCCATTCAGGCAGCTTGCAAAAAGTAGCACAGTATCACTAGAGCTCCTGTCCTGTACTTCAGCAGCACAGTGCATACTATTTTACTCCTATCCACTCAAATCCCCACTTTCCCGGTCATAGTGCCTCTAACCCTCCACCTGGACACCCCTTTCACACAGTGCCCACCTCCATAAAAGTGCCTCCAACCCACTTCACCCCCCTGGTCAAAGGGTCCGGTGTCCTGTAATGTTCCAGTATGTCAAAAAAAGAGCTTTTCATAGTTTCTGAGGTAGAGGGTAGACATTCTTCATAAATTCATCCAGGGACTCACCAAACAGGTTTTCCCCTTAAATGGCATACACACAAGGCGTTTCTTGCACTGTTGTTCCGCAGATCAATATTTGAGGTAAAGGCATGTGTACAGGAAGGAAACTTATTCTGGATATCAGACATATGTTATCTGCCAGGCCATCCACACATTAGAGACGGGCCACAGGCATGAGTTCAATTTGTTGGAGGACAGACGGGTCCATTAGGATGAATCTAGGTTCCTGAGACATCTCTTTAGACCTGGCAGCGAAGGTCTGGAAAATGGACATGGTAGCAATAACAGTTTGCAGAACAGGGCCCGTAAGACTAACAAAGGTTCTGAGGCATGCTGGGAGAGGGAGGGGAAGCCTTACAGCTCCTTTTTTGCCATTGTCCCATCTCCTGAAGGCAAAGCCCAATGTTCCTGAATACTTCTCCTGTGTCTCAAAATGTACAATAAAGAAATATTTTTTAATAATGTTCAATTAGTTATTTAATTTTTATCCTGTTGTTTTTGGATGGAGTTCTGCTTTAATGGTCAGCATTTTGCACTTAAAATTTTGCTGAGTTTGCTAATCTGTTTTAATTCATATAAATAATTTACTACAGTGTTTCAATGTGACTATGTTGGGCTTCATTTATAAAACTCCTGCCATTTGCACTGCATTAGGGCCCCAAGATGGTCCCTAATGTATTTCCTATACTCGGCAGCACCATCTGGGGGCACCAGTAACGTGCGAACGCCATCTGCCTGGCTATATGGTTATTCTAGCTGCTGTTTATTCAAACTCTATGTTCACAAATAGGAAGAGGGGAGCCTATTCGTCTGCTCTTGGCTGATAATGGAGCTCGGTGGACTGAGGACGTGATACAGCTTCCTGATTGGTTTGCTGGAAAATGTGACCTAAAGAAAGAGGCAGTAAGTGAATTTAAAACCCTTTTCTTTTTTAAGCACCTGTTGACAATAGGTAACCTTTATCCACTGCCTGCTATTCTAGCAAAATTGTGACTAACCCAAGATTAATAGCTGTGATGTCTATAAATTATCAAAAATCTTAGAAGGCACCCTTCTGGCAAAGCTAACGGATGGTAGTGGGAGTATTGGTGTGGTTGGTTTTCCATCAAATTTCACCAAGTAGTGTTGGAAATGTCTGCTCTCCTTTTGGGAGTGTTTTTTGTTTGTTTGGACTGTTCAGTGACTGAATTTTTCCCTTAAATCTGACTCGATATTTTACAGGTTTTTGGTCAGTTGCCTCAGTTTAGGGATGGAGAACTTGTTCTCTATCAGAGCAACACCATCCTGAGATACCTAGGACGCAAATTTGGTGAGTTTGTTTACTACATTTCACTGCTTTATACTTTGCTTTCAAAATACAGTTCCACACAGGGTCAGTTGCTTCAAGTTTATCCAATTGCAGGAGCACAAGGGTAGCAGTGTACTTAGGTTTATGGTCTACCATGGGACATTACCTATCTCCATTAGACAAAGTATTCATATGTGGTTACCTTAAGTAAAAGTCAGAGGTGTAAGGCCCCATTCACACTGAGCGGATTGCGAATCACGAGTTTGTCGCGCGATTGTCATTTTGCGCGATATCATGCGGTTTTCCGGGCGATATCGCGCAAATGATTGCATTGGACCGAGTACAATCGCGCGACATCTGCACAAAAAAAGGGTCCTGTAGCAGCGACGCGTGACAGCGACGAGCACAGCTCCATAGACTTGTATTGGAGAGGGATATCGAGCGGATAATATACGCGGAAATCCGCATGATAAATCGCTCAGTGTGAATGGGGCCTAATGGTTCTTGGTCAGTGGTATTGCATGTACTGAATCGGATTATATTTAGTTTCACTTTTCCAGAACCAGAATGCAGTGAACACCTGCTGAATTCAGCCACATTTTATATGTGTTTAAGTTCTCTGTTAGGTACAAGGTTTACTAGTCCCGTCATCTCCTAATGATAGATAGAACACAGCAGGTTCTGCCTAATCCTTTCACTTTCAAACCTTTCACACTCTCCCCCATGGCATGACGAAAAATGTATCTAAAACCAGAACTTTTTTTAGATAGGGTATGGAAAGGTTGAAGCTCCTGTCAAGTTCATTGTCTCGTGTCCATTAGAGATAATTTTAAAACATTTTTTTACGGTTGAGACACAACAGGTAGTGAGAGGAGGTCTCTCCAAAGTAAGAAAAATCTTCTTTTAGACAGCTATCATTGGAACAATTGTCTCCATTTCTCCTCTATTGCTGTTCCAGTGAGAACTCAACATTTACATTTTTCCTCTTTTGATCCTAGTGACAATGGTAACCAGGTTGGATAGAGAGAGTGAATGAATGTTATACACAAGACAGCGATAAAAACAGACAAAGGGTTCTAACCCTTGCTTGCCCTATTCAAAATAAGGCCACAGCACAGAGGCTCTAGTTTTTTCTTACTCATCCAAGACACATTACAGAGCCTTTAATCCTTGCTTAATCTAGCCAGACACCGTACAGTAGTTATCGATAGACCTGCACTGCAGTGTACAACAATGCATGGTATGTATTGTGGTGCATTTTGTAAAAAAAAAAGCATAGGTCTGGTTTTTGTTCTCTTGCCATGCATTGGTAGCCTACTAAAAATGCAAAATTACAGGGCAGGGCTCAACGAGAAAAAAAGCACTTGCGTATGTAAGTCTGCAATCTCAGGTTCATATATAGCACAAGAAAAAGAGATGAACCAATAAGGCTTTTTTAATGCTGTTTGTGTAAATAAAGCTGGTCAATAAAGTATCCAGTCTACAATGGAGGATGATCATTTGTTTATAATATGAGCATTATGTTAATGATTTCACCTTGCTTCCCTTATACACTTTCTCCTCGGCATACAGTCATTGCCGGAAGCAGTGATCAGGAGATTGCTGTCATTGATATGGTAAATGAAGGTGTGGAAGACCTGAGACTGAAGTTCAGCCGCTTTATGTTCTTTGAATATGTACGTATAGGCAAGAGACCCTTTTTTAAAAAAAAATAGTTTTACAATATGATGGAACTTGCGAAGTTCAAAAGTAAACTCAGCATGACAAAAAGGCTAAGCTCCAAAATGATTATTTTATTGGTATGTGCTCCCATAAATATCAGAGCATACGAAGTGGTGGAGCACAGTTACCCTTTCTTTTATTAAACTAAGATCAAGGATACAGTAAGCCAGTACCTAGTGCACCAGGGAATCAAAACTCAATCACAGACTTTTCTGCCTTAGCTCATTATTTGTGGGCGGCTCCAGCAGGATTACTGAAAAATGGGGGCTGGGAAAGATGTGGAGACAGCCAAAAGGAGTCATAAGACTGTCAGCTGCAACCATCATCTGTAGGCTTCTGATTAACTACTTGAAGTGACACTAAACTCAGGCGTTAAATCTAAAAAATGTATTGAAGTACCTTTACTTTTAAAAAACATGTATCTTTTTTGTGCATCACCCTGTAGATACTCAAATCATCTCTGAATTAATGCTGACACTGCCCTTCCTTCTGGAGGGTGGCTACTTTTGTTCTCCATGGTCCCTGTGTGTGTTGCAAAGTAGCCACCACTCCAAGCTTGCTCCCGTGATGCACTACAATCTCACATTTTGTATACTAATTTGTATTGAGATTATGGTCCATCAAACTGAGCTTGGAGCAATGGCTACTTTACAACACACACAAGGACCATGGTGAACAAAAGTAGCCCCCCTCCAGAAGGAAGAACAGTGTCAACAGCTCCAATGTCAGCATGAATTCAGAGGTGATTTGAGAAACTACAGCCGAGTGATAAACAAGATACATTTTTGTTATTAGTAAAGGTACTTAAATGCATTTTTAAGATATAACTCCTGAGTTTAGTGTCACTTTAATAATCCATCCTGCACATGAAGTAAGTGACATATTGCCTCCAGCAGCATATCCTGGTTTTAATACTACTTCTGGAAGAAGAATGCAGACATAAATGCTGAAAGCTTGAAAAATACACCATTTACTGTGTATTTGATTGTTTGGTTCATCATGAACTGAAAAAGTAAGGGCTGCTTTTTTAAATAGCCAGCGCTAGTGTGATAAGTGTATTTGCATTGCAAATACAGCAACATAAACAATGTTTTCATAAAATAAAAGAAGTAAACAGGTATGCCCAGAAAAATATATATTTTTTCTCCTAACAAGTGCATATCACCCACTATGGGGTACTTTGTGATTCAAAACAGCGCAAGTGTATCTTTTAATATGTGATAAGAGATTTAAATATTCATCTGTAGTCAATCTTTGTCTCTCTATTTCAAATGCTGATTAAGCACTTACAATGGATGATGTGCCTTGATGTTTAAATGATTTAGCTTCCTGCAGAACCAGCTGGTCCCTGGGGCACTGGCCCCGATATCTTGTTTTAGGGTGGCTCCTTTCCCTTGCATGGTCCTATAGAGCCACCCTTGTGGGCGTCTACACAAACACACAGGAACAGCAGGGCAAGCTGTTCCCTGCTCCCCCTCCTCCCTTCACCCTTCTCCAAGCTAGTAGATGGAGAGCTGCTAGAGTCTGCACTGTGATCTTGTACTGGACAGAACGTTTAGGGAAGCTGAGCTGAGAGCCAGCTGTTTACAAACATAACTGTAAGTGCTTGGGCAAACATGTAAAGAAATACATTGCTGTGCAATGTATATTTGTTTGATCTGGTTTCATTATTGGAAAAAAAAATGTTTGTGAGTTTAAAACTACTTTAAATGATAGCAGGTTAATTTATAAGACTAGTGCAAAAGAAGCTAACTGACCTGTTGATCAGAAGCAAATGATTAGGTTATAATTTTTAAATTAAATTAAAAATATGATTAGTTGCTCCTGGTAGTCCAGAGGAATTGCACTATATACTCGAAAACCCTGTGAATTTAAGATAAAGTATCACATATCGATACCACTGTCCTAAACCAAGCAACATATGACAAATAAAAGACTAGAAATGGTATAAGGAAAATGTATCAAAATACATACACATATCAAATCACACAGTACAATAAACTTCAGTGTAAACCCTGACCGTAAAATATCCCACTGTGTGATAAATATGTATAGTATTGCATGGCTGGTGCTATATTTAGGGATAGTGTACTCCTCCAGTAAAAGCGTTTTACTATGACATGACTGCAGCTTTATGTAGGGATATTATACTCCTCTAGTACTATTTCTTTATCCTTTTGTACTCCCACTACATGCCTGATTTGACATTTCAGCTGTTTTTAATAGGTAATTAATATAGAGTAGAATTAAACACAGCAATATCATAGAAAATGGTTCTGAATATATATTGACTGAATGGAAGTGATTACATTTACTTTGATGTTATCATTAAAGTTTATTTTGATTAACAGGAAACTGGAAAGGAGAAGTATGAAAAAGATCTACCAACTCATCTATCAGCCTTTGAAAAGATCCTTTCTAAAAATTCTAATGGAACCAAGTTTCTGGTGGGAGACAAGGTAATTCAACATCAGTAAAGAAAATTAAGTAAACAATTCGAGGGGGGTACAGATGTGGACCTCCTGAGATTAAGAGTCAGAGCAAGAAGTGCCTTAGATCCCATACTGCAGATATACCGTTATATGAGGCTGTAGGTACAGGAGTGCCTAAACACACTCACATACCAGAAAGTGCACTGACATTTTTCAGGAGGAACACAAGACATTTACAAATCTTCACTTTTTTGAGTTTAGATCCACTTTATGGCTTAGATTTGGCTATCTACATCTCAAAGCATTGTGATAAGAATGTTCCATATAGTATATCTTTGAAGGCAGAAGTGGTATTAGTACACAAAATGGTGTCAGGAATAGGCTGAGTTAATCTTTAACATAATATCACAACAATCTATAATATAGCGTCTTTACTAAAGAGTTCAGCATAGAACAACCAATAATAAGCTGTACATTGTACAGTGCTGTCAGTTTATCAGATGTACCATGCTTAGGGGAGGTGAGAGCACAGGGGTGACCTAATCAGTGTGTGTGGCTGCTCCTTCATTGAATACTGGTAACACAACTGTATTCCTTAACTGCAATAGAAAAAGTAGTGTCATGGTTCTGGCTACTACATTTGCTGTTCTTCTTTCTGCAGATTTCCTATGCTGACTACAACCTCCTGGACCTCCTTCACCTTCACCTCCATGTCTTCCCGGACAGTTTGTCTTCGTTCCCCCTGCTCACTGCATACATAGACCGCATTAGTTCACGAAGCGACCTCAGTGATTATCTGAAATCTGAGGATCGTAACAGCAGACCTATTGTTCCAAAAAGAGGTTAAATACTACTGATCCATGTTGGCTTACCATACAGAAGTCTACCTCATATCACTTAGTAAACCATGTCATTCCTCTTTTTATTCCATCTAAGAGTACATGTGCATAGAGTATGTTGTAAGTTCTTTATTGCTGTCTTTCTCATGCCACTTTAGCAATCTCTAAATAGGAGCTGTGAAACTCTGTGTAAAAATGCACTTTATTTTTACCAGGGATTGCTAGAGAATTCTGACATGAGAGACAAGGACAATAAAGAGCTTACAGGGGCTTAATTGGCAGGATCTGGACCCCAAATAAACTGTGATATTTTTTTTTTCTTTCAAAATAAAACAATGTCATTTTCAGACTGGTTTGTACTTTGTCTTTACATATTGTGTTGTAGGCTATTATTAAAATAATAGTTATCATTATGTTGTCCTAAGCACCCCACCCTGTATCTTAGAATATATCAGCACATCTTCTGTTACATACATACATAAGCAACAACTCCTTTAAAATCTAAGTCCACCAATGCAGAGGAAGGAAAAATTGTCTCAGTCAGATGACTTTAAGAGCCTTGATATGGGCATAAAATACACCTTGTTCTCAGAAGATATATTGCAATGTATTTTGATGCTTTACAACACATCAAAAAGTACAGACAAGAGAAAGTATTTTGTTTTTAATAGGACCTTTTCAAATGTTTTGTGTTGCATTGCATCATGGGAATATCCTGTATACTGCATTTTAGCTGTGTTGACCTGTTTTTTGCCATTCTATGCAAAGCAGTGCAATGTATATCAAGGCAACGTATGCCAACATATGTATCTCTGGTGTGAAACCACCCTATCAGAAGATCAGGATTACTACATAGCCAACATAGGCCATCCAGGAGTGGCATACAGCCACATACATATCACGCTGCTGACTATTAGTAAAACATGCTGTCTATAATATCCACTTTCAGATTGCTGCCCTGTCTGCTGCCTTTCCTCTTTGTTGTTGCACCTCTATAGTTGTAAGTTTTTGTTGCATATAAAGACTACTATCATATCTTCCACTCTCCTCTCCAGCACATACTGCCCACAGTCATACCCTATGGCAGTCCTCCCCTGCACATACTGCTTGTTGTCATACCCTTTGCACTTCTCTTCTTCACATAATGGCCACCAACATACCCTCTGCACTCTTCTTATGCACATACTGGCCTCCCTTTTACCCTAAGCATTCCACTCCTGCACATTCTGGCTACCTTTCTATGCTCCACACACCATATTGCCCCATGTTGGATCCTCTACACTCCTCTCCTGCACATACTGCCTGGCTTCATATACTTGTCACCTGCACGTACTGCCAGCTATCATACTCCACACACTCCTTCTTCTATTACCATCTGCATTCATTTCCTGCACATCTAATACTTTCCACACTCCTTTCTCGCACATACGGTACTTTCTGCTAAAATACATCTTTAACATTGTCTGGTATAGCCTGAACCTTGCCCCTGAATTGAGCACATGTTTGCTAGTACAAAATATATGACTTTTATCATCATAAATGATTGTTACTGAAATCTAAAAGGACTGATCAGCAATAACATAGCAAACATATAATTATATCGTTGGCTTGCAGGTTCTTCTAAAAGTGTGGGATGAGTCATATTTTTTCTGTACTCTGCCCCTGTTTATTTCCAGTACTTTACCTCATCTGTTGTGACAAACTACAGTACACTACTATGCATTTCGTTGGACTACTGTACCACAATGCCCTGCCCAACCACTTCCATTGTCTGAACTGAGATGCTTGGCTCAATGCAGACATTTAGACTTTTTGTTTAGGTGTCGAGGCGCTTTCAGAAGCCAGAATTCCCTACCAATCACCGACCGACACAAGTACATAGAATGGTTGCCTTGACTATGGTTGGAAGCCAACTCCCATCCACAATTTTTATTTATATTTTAAGTCTGAGATAAGGCAGAGAAAGGTTAGAGTTTTCTTAATTTCCCTTTTCTGTGACAGAGGAAATGAGGGAAAAGGGTATAGCTAGGACAGGAAAACACAGACAGCAATACAAATCTTGCAGTGAATCAAAATATACTGTACAAACTTTTTAGAAACCATAGATAAGAGTAGGTGCACAGCTAGATGTTAGTTTAGTATAAATCGAGAATGCAGTAAAACCAGCAGGCCAAGATATAAGTAAAATATTTACTAAACTCCCATATGAGAATAAACACTGTTGTTCCAGGGATGCGCCCTTTATCAAGGTGCACAAAGCCTAATGAGTTCTCTAAACAAAAGATCCAAGGGTCCAAATATTTTTAATATTGGTGTCACTGATCAGCATTATATCGGATCTGATACTTGTAGTTCTACAGACTTGTGTATTACAAAGCAGCTAGCTCTTGTATTACTTGCAGTTCTACTACATGTGCTCTTTTCCTACCTTGCTCTTGTACTGGTTTGGCAGCTTTAGGGGTTGCCTCATCTCACCTACTGATTAATAAAGCAGCCTCTCAGCCAATCTAGTGTTCCCTTCCTATTGCTCACTTTATTTAAACTTGAGGCAGCTCACCACTCGTTGCATGAGCACCGATAGCACTAGCTAGTTGCCGTGCCCCATTGCTTTGTAGTGCTGTCACCTATTACATTTTTTATGCTGTTTCTGTCTACCAACCTTTGGGTTGCTGCCTGGTGATCCTTGTCTGCCACCTGCCCTGACCTTTGTCCTTGTGTCCTGTTGATCCTTGCCTGCTACCTGCCCTGACTTTTGGCTTTGTCACCTGGTATCCTCACCCACCGTCTGCTGAGTAGGGTAAACTCGGGGGGTCACAATCTTGGGTCATCATGCAGCAAAACCCATCTCCACCATCAGCAGCTCTGGTCCTCTGGTCCTTAGACTCTGTGACCCAGGGGATCCCACACTGCCTGCACTATGCTTTGGCATTGGACTACCAGCTGTCTCCAGAGCTTATATTGTCAGCTCTGGCTTCCAGCTGCCCCTATCTGATCTACAGCTCCAGGTTGTGGTTCTATCCACTCCTTTCTCATGTGGCTGTTGGCCTACACCGCTCGCACCCCTTCAATCACTTAAGATGCACCTGCAAGTGTAGCTAGGGTCCGCATCTTTGGTTTCTCATCCTGACAATTAGTATGCGTTTATAACAAGATAATACAAAACAGGCAATGCATTTCAGGGTAACATAGTTACATAGTTAGCCAGGTTGGAAAAAAGTCAATCAAGTTCAATCTATAGAGAAAAACAAAAAAAAAAAAATAGAAAAACTTTCATAAACAAAACCCTATGCTCACAGTTACTCACAGTTGATTCAGAGGAAGGCAAAGACCCCTATAAAGCATGGTTTAATTTTCTCCAACAGCGGAAAACAAATTTCTCCTCATCCCATAAGGCATTAGGATGTTCCCTGGATCAACAATCTCTGGTGTTTTTTATTTATAAAATGTTAATATCTGATTATATTATACATTGTTATCATATTCCCTGTTAATTGCATCTTCTCAAGAAAGAACAAATTCAGTTTAGCTAATTTTTCTTCACCGCTCAGCTCCTCCATGCCTCTTATGAGTTTAGGGGGGTCTCAGAAGATATACCCCTTCTTCAGGGTTACAAAACAGACATAAAAATAGGTATATAAATATAAAATATAGGGATGTACGATACTAGTATCGGTATCGGGCCCGATATAGGGCATTTTCACTTGTACTTGTAAAAATGCCCTGATACTAAAGGCCGATACCGGCACTTTAAAAAAATTTCAACGAAAAGGCGGAGGGGGCGTGTTCGGATGCCGAGCTGAGTGCGTGCTGCCTTAACCTCCCTCTACCCGCAGTATTACAGCTGCCTCAGTCCACCAATATGGCGCCGGAGCACATGGCCGCCTTTGGACTCCCACTGTGAGTCTCATCCTGCAGATCATTCCCTGGCTGAGTCTCCAGCTACCACTGATGAAGCCTGCTCCCTGAGCCACTCTACTGACAGCCGCTCCTCCAGATCCCCGCTACAGGTGAGCCGGCCTATACAAAACAGCCTACGCACGCTACCTCCAGGCCCACAAGGAAGCTGCATAAGCTGTGAATTTTCCCCGCCTGTCACAGCTCCTCTGCACCACAGCAGGTCTCCCAGCCAGGGCCGCCATTAGAAATCATGGGGCCCCATACAGCCTACATGGCTAGGCCCCTCCCCCTCAAGCTGTCCCCCACAGTCTCACACTATTATTATACATTTACATAGCTCTGACATATACCACAGTGCTGTACAGAGAACACTGAGCCAGTCACATTAGTTTCTGTACAGACGAGCTTACACTCTAATGCAGAATTGCACCGGCTGTAGGGGGACTACAAATCCCAGCAATACATTATACAGCAATGCAGAACAGTATATGAATTGGACTCTGGACGTAGTAACGCACTGGACTCAGGGCTTAAAAATGCACTGGACTTAGTAATGCATTGGACTCTGGACCCACCTGAGGCCCTGCAGAGCCCATCTGAGATCCTGCAGAGCCCACCTGAGACCTCACACAGCCCACCTAAGAGTGACCCTGCAGAGCCCACCATAGATCCTGCACAGCTCATCTGAGACTCTCTATGGTGGGCTCTGCAGGGTTTCAGGTGGGCTGGTTGGAGTTCCTTTCCCAGAACACGCAGCTCATCTTACCTGCTACTGTGCCCCGGCCTCCTCTGTTGCCGCCAGACAGGCGCTGCTGGGCCCCGGCCTCCTCTGCCGCCACCAAACAGGCTCTGCTAGGGGCTGGCCTCCTGCATCTCCTCTGCTGTCAATTGGCTGAGGTGCCTGGCCCCCCAGGCTGCCAGGGCCCCTTACATGGGTATCAGCTGTACCCCCTGATGGCAGGCCTGCTCCCAGCACTCTGACTATGACTTCTGCTGCCATCCTACTCAACGGTCACCATTAGACCCTGCTCTTGGGACCTCTCCCCTGGCTGCTCTTTCCCCCTCAGCCCCCAGGCCTCAACAAGCTCTTAGATCGCAGGACCCTAGTGTGCAGCCCTGGTGAGACCCAAAAGCATCCCAGATGAGACCACACAGCCATATATAATTGCTGTATAATCATGGAGTGCTGGGATCTGTAGTCCTCTATTGCTTGTTGCTATTCTCCATTGCTGTATAATGATGGATTGAGTTACAATTCTTTCAAAATTATATAGAAACTCCCCTAAAATCATTAGTCTGTATTGTTTTAGAAAAAATTTCACATGTCCCTTTAAGAAAATGTATCCGTAATTGGTATCGGCAGGTACCTGAGAGACAGTACTTGTATCTGAACTTGGTCTTGAAATTCTATTCTATTGTTCTCCACTAGAACCTAAATAGCAGCAGAGCAAACAAATCCTACTCACAAAGGGTTTGGGAGTGGTTAGCGAGTAACAGTAGTGTAGACTACAACCAATGAGAGGAGTGTGGACCGCAGAACCATATGCATTGGGAAGGGTTGGGGTAGAGTGACAGGTAATGGAAAAGGTAAAGGTAATGGAAAGGGAGGTCATGTGATCGGAGGAGAGTGTATAGAATGACAAATCTCTCTGGTCTTCACCAAGCTGAACCGTAACAGACAATAAAGTGTAGCTTAAGCCCAAACTTTGTATATCATTTTGGATAGATAAAGGGAAAGTTATAGCCATGTACCCCACCCACACATTTCATAACAATTTCCTCAGTACAGAGCGTGCTGCAGGGTTATGCTTCACTATAATTCTACTGGCATTCTACTGACACAGAGGGTTGGTAATATACAGTGTAATAAACATAGAATCTGGGCACAAGTTTGCATGCATTCTGTTTTTTTAAATGCATGCTATGGTTTACATTATTATATAATTTATAATTTAATTTACATATTCCCAATTTACTTTCTCTTAGTGATGCAGAGATCTACATAAACATCTGCTAATATCATCTGCTGCTTTCTAAACACATTCAAGACTGTCATAATAATTGAACATAAGGGATTTGCTTCAGGACAATGTGTGATGATGAAATTGCCTAGGGTTCTACTGCTATTGTGTGTTCTTAGCTATAGAGCATTAAATGGTAATTTTTTAGGCTGTTGGATTTTACTTTATAATTCTTATTTAGTGAAACTGTAACAAAGCTATGGGCGTTTACATATTAACAATCAGTAAATTAGCTTTAAACAAGCCCTTGCTGATCTTTAGTTCTGTGTTTTACATTAGAGATTAGAAGGTTGGAAAACTGGGTTGTCACTGCTGGGAGGGGGGAACAGGATGATCTGGGCTAGCTTAGACAAGGATTTTAGTACTTCTCTTTCAAATTTGAGGATGAATTATTACAGTGCCTGCAGATATAGATGTCAGTGGGGGTACCATCAGCTTATAGTAGAACTGTAAATGCCAGGTCCGTACGACGTACTGAGCTGGCCAGCTGGAAGCACTTTTGTAGCTCCGTACGATGTACGTCCTTGGCAGCGAAAGGGTTAAAATGTATTTACTGCTTATTAAGCAACTTGGGTCACTACAGAGGTGGAGTTAATACTTAAATGGTTTCTAAACCCTCAGCTTTTATTGCATATATCTACAGTAGATATATGCAAAAAGTAAAAAAAAAAAAACCCCGCTCTAACAGTGGTTTAAACTTACCTGCGTCTTCCCCACGCGCTCCAGTCAGAAAATGTGAAAATTCTCGGGCGGCCCAAAGGATCTTGGGGCGCGCGCATGCGCAGTTCACATTTTTGGCCTGGACGCGAGGAGGGACGCAAGGTAAGTCTATGGACGCGTGCACCCACATGCAGACACCGTCGGGCAGGAAGTGCCAGCAAGCCCAGAGGAGTCAGCGCTGGATCGGACACCCGCCGCAGCGCTGGAGAGAAGGCTGGAAAACATCAGGAAAGAAGAAGATCGGATTGAGAGACATCATTTAAGGTAAGTGCTTTAATTAACATTGGTGTGAGGGGAAAAAGAATTTGCCTTTAATGTTGCTTTAAGTCTGCATCACAGTCCTGGCTGTTAGTTTTAGGTTATGGAAAGGGCAATGTCACATTAGGGAGTGGAGGCAGATGTTCTGAGGACAGTAATCAGAGCACAGCGTGAGAGGGTGTGCCAAGCTGTTACTGTATGCTGCAATAAGATGGTTAACACCTGTAGCACTACTCCCTAAAGAACAGGTGGATAGATGGGTACTTTCTGCTGGTCCCTACTGATGACCCGTCCTAACTGGACCCAAAACTCACCAACCCAAAACTGCTTCCTAAGTAAGCCCCAATGAAGGGAATATTTGTGTCAGCCCTGGAAACACATTAGCTATTTCAATACTCAACCCTACATGGAATATAGATGTATCTGGACTATTAAAAGAAATGTGGTGCTTTAATTTACAATCCTGTAATTTGACATCACTCACCAGCAGGGAGGGAGTAATTATCTGTGGACTGTACAATATGTTCTGCAGCACAGCCTAAAGAGCTGGCAGTTGAGCTACACTCTATCCCCCACCAAATGTCTTTGGCTTTCAAAGAAACAACAGTTTAGCTTTAACCACAAACTAAATAAACTAAATTAACATAGTTTGTGGAACACAGAATGAGTACGCTCCCTGCATACATAGTTACATAGTTACATAGTATTTGGGGTTGAATAAAGACATACGTCCATCAAGTCCAACCCATATAGGTCCACGCATCATCTCATTCTTAGGGATACTGGTATCCCTGGATATTACAGTCCCTCAAGAAATTGTCCAAAAGTTTCTTGAACAAATCTACACTGTTGGCTGAAATCACTGCCGATGGCAGTGAGTTCCAGACCTTAACCGCTCTTACTGTAAAGAACCCTCTTCTCCCATTGTGCTGGAATTTTTTCTCCAGCAACTTTAGGTGGTGGCCTCTAGTCTTTGTAATGGAGTTAATCTCAAACAGTTTGTTGCCAATGTTGCTGTCACCATTGAACATCTTGTACATGAAAATCATATCCCCCTTAATCTCCTTAATTCCAGCGTAAACATGTTTAAGGTCAGAAGCCTTGTCTCATAGCTCTGGTCCTCCATTCCCCTAATTAGTTTTGTTGCCCTCCGCTGGACTCTCTCCAGTTCAAGGACATCCCTTCTCAGTACCGGCGACCAAAACTGGACCGCGTACTCCAGATGTGGCCGAACCAACGATCTATATAGAGGCACAATTATAGACTTGTCCCTGCAATACAAAGGAGAGAGGAGACAGTCTTGGCTCCATTCTTTGTGCATCACATACATACTGATGTTACGCCAATTAACAAATAAATGTGCTTATATGAAACAGTAGCAATTTCAAAGCTTAATATTACTCAACTGAATGATATCCAAAAAAAATGCCTCAAAGCGTTTGCTATGCATGGAGATCTCACAAGAGTATTAAAGGAGAGCGATTGGGAGAGTAAATTGTACTCTTCCCAATAGTTTGAGCCGGTGTGTGACACTGCAGCATTTCACATGCCAGCCCTATAATTCGAGAACAGAGTGATCATGAACAGTCAGTCACTGCTCCATGCAGGGCTTCCCCCTTCCCCTCTTTCGGTTCCTGCAGCACTCATTGGAGGTACATACATGGGAGGGGGAAGACATGTCTCATGGTGGATCCCAACAACATTGGGTAAATGTTAGGGATGTCCTGATGCCACTTTTTTAGGACCAAGTACAAGTACTTTCTCTTAGATACTTGCCGATACCAATTATCGATACTTTTTATTAAAGCAACATGTCAGATTTTTGCTAAAGCAACACAGACTGATTATTTTAGGGCAGTTTCTCACCAGAGCTAAATACAGATGTCCCCTAGAGCACAATACAGATGTCCCCGAGAGCACAATACAGTAGTGATGGGGTGTCAGGGAGAGGGTGGTAGTGATTAGTGTGGTACAGATACAAAAACACAGGGCAGACAGGGGAGTCCAGGCTGCTGTGGGTGTAATATGAAGGGAGGACATGTAAGAGAGGGCTGCACAGACTATAAGGGTCATTACCTTGTAACATGGCTCGGCGTAGAGCCATGGCAACAAGGCGGCGTGCGGCCGACACAGCTCGTCCTGGGGGTGGCTTCTCTCTCCCTCACTGCTGGCCATCCGATATGACAGCGCTCTCTCTCCCTCACCGCTGCCTGCTGTCAGGATAGCGGAGCGGTGAGGGGGAGAGAAGCCGCGCCCCCAGTTGTCAGGATGGCCGAGCGGGTAGGAGATCGGAGCCGCTGTTATCCTGTCAGTTTCAGGATGACAGCGGCTCTGTGCATGGCAGAGCGGAAGATCGGTAAATATCATGGATATTTACCGATCCTCCGTGTGAGAAGGACAAACACTGGAGCGATCATCTGATCACTCCAGTGTTTGTAAATAACTGGGGACACATAGTACTATGTGTCCCCAATTATGGATGAACAGGCTGTGATTTACATCACAGCTTGTTCATTCAGGATTTCCTCAATGGGAAGAAGCACTCTGTACAGAGTCTCCTCCCCATTCAGAAACGGCTGATAGTAAATATGAATGGGAAGCCTCTGTACTGAGTGCTTCCCATTCATTGAGTGCTGAGGCTGCTGAAAAAGAAATTGAGGATTTGGTGTCCTCAATTTCTTTTCTATTTTAAGAGGGAAATCTCAGGGGTCTGTTTGGACCCCTAATATTTCCCAAAGCCCCCTAAACAGTAAAAAATAAATAAATAATACAAAAATAACAAATTATGAAAAAAATAAATAAATAAAAAAATGATTTTAAAAAAGTTTGAAGACTAAAATCTAATTTCAGATGAAATGAACGAAAACTAAAAAAGTTTGAATTTGTTTCATCAAACAAAACACTTTTTTATGCTATTTTGGGTTCAGCCACTGGCGTGCTCTGGAGGCAGGGCGCATGATGTCATATAACTTTGCACATGTTGGGCGCTGCCATCTTGGTGTATATCTAGGTATACACCAAGACGGTGGGGCCAATATCGGCATGTGACGTCACCTGACGCCACGCATGCATGGCGTCATGTAATGCTCCCTGCCTCCAAGATGGTGGCACGCATTCACA